ATACGTGCACATGCATTCTCATTTACACACATACACAGATGAAGACAGTTTAAAACTGAAGCTATTCTTGCATCCTAGTCATGATGAAGACAATTACACAATTGCAAGAACGGTATTAACGAAAAAAAAAGTTTATAAGAACGTCAATGATATATATATATATATTGAATCTATACAATTGCAAGAACAGGATTGACCGAAAAAAAAAAAGTTTATAAGAATGTCAATGAGATATATATATATATTGAATCTATATACTGATCAACATGGATTTGGAGATAAGCTCTGATACCACAATGTTGGAAAATCATACACATATAATATAATCATATATGTATGGATATACAGCGGAATAAAATTTATACTAACCTCCTCCAGCCATTGTTGATCAAGTTGTGTGATGTGTGTAATTCTTATGAACCTCTCAATATTATATCACTCACTTTACACTTTATGAATAAGTGTCTTCTAACCTATGTAGAACTTGAGTGCCTCATTGATGGAAAACCACATGCCTATTTATAACTGCTAGGTCAAGGACCCTTATCAGATAGATACATTATTAGATAAACCTTGTTAGTTTCTTTCCATCAAGGAAACTTAATTAGTGGAAATTGATAGGCCATAGCCAAACCGCTATTTAGAGTTCTTGATATAACTTCAATAATTATTACCCACAATTATCAAAAGACAAATATACATATAAGGATAAATATATAAATAAAATATAATATATAATTTACAAATATTAATATGTATGTGGGCCACACTAAATCTCCTCTTATGAGATGCAGCTTACAGTTTCAAGAGGGTTTTTTTTTTTTTTTTTTTGTCGGTATCACACGACAGAGGAAAGAAAATATTTTTTTTGTGGGAGAAAATTTGAAGTGAACATCTAGAATTTGGTAGGCTAAATATCAGTGAAAACATAATGAAGCTAGACATAATTGGGATTAAGTCCATGGATAACTACCGTTGGTTGTTTTACAATTTGGCTACCAGATCCAAGTTCTCATCGATTGAAGATGACATGATTTCCATGTACTATTAGGGGTTCAATCCGCAACTCAATCTAAAACTCTTTGGTGTATTGGCTGCTAATAGAATTTACATACAGAAGATGCAATCCAAGTAGCATTTCAAATGGAAGACTTTTGTGAAACTCATTTATAGAAAACTTCCTGATCGGCCTTCCCATTTTACTCCAAGTCCTTTTCAGTCTTTGTATTGAGATAACATTAAGTCCAAGTGTTTTAATTGTCCACGTTTTAGACATCAAGCTCAAGATTGCCTTTCTCCCAAGATTAATGTCCCAACTAAACCAGTTATTGAAAATGAAGACTTTGGGACGTAAAAGAATCTGAGAAACAAAGCTTGATGAACAGGTTGTTGACCCCCTTGATTCGGAATCCTATGATGATCTCCTTAATGATATGTTTGGTATTTTTTGACCATTGTTGGCTTCTACAAAACAAGCCATAAAAGAACCCGAAAAGCTACAAAGAGTCAAGATTTTTGATACAAGGGTGAATTGGTGATCAAGTGTATTCTTTGGTGATTGATACTAGGAGTTGCACTAATGTTGTGTCTGAAGAAGCCGTGAAGAAATTGGGTTTGAAAATGGAGTCGTATCTTGAACTTAATTTTCCTTAATACTAAACTCAAGGTCAACACACCAAAATTAAACACTAAATTATACCAAATTCCTTAGAATAATAGTAAGTCCAAGTATCGATCCACAGAGACAATTGGGAAATTAAACTAATTTTAATTGTTAAATTCCTAAATTAATTTTGATAAAAAAGATTGATTGTTCATAACCTAATAATGATTAAATTAAATAAGCTAATAAACTAGCCATTATAAATAAAAATGAATTTACTAATTTGGGGAAAAACCTAGGGCGATGAGTTCACCACTAGTTATGTAAATAAGGTTTCAATTTGAAATCAATTATGCTATGGTTCGAACAGAATAATACTTCGCAACTACAAGTTCGAAGCATTTGTCAAGAAAATCATCACGTTCAATGTACGGGCACGAACCATCTCAAGTAGTATGAATCGTTCGCTCTAAACTATGGTAACGACACGAGTCGTCCTTCGTAGTATGGTTCGTCTCATACCTTGAATATGAAAGAATAGAAAACTATTGTATGGAAAGCATTCAACAATCACAGAAAGCCGAATACTTGAAGAAATAGTGGAAATATATATATATATATATATGAAACTTCTAAAACACCATACAATTGTTCAAACCTTTACATAATCAAAAACCAAAAAGAAAACCTAATTACATAGCTAGGGTTTCATCAAAACCCTAGAAAAGAAGAGCCAAGCCACTCATGGAGGAGTGGGAAGAGATGGAACCCTCCATGGGAATTTGCTTTGAAGATTGAGAATCACCTTTTTCCAAACCCTAGCCTCTTCTTTCTCCTTCAAAATTTCAGAACCCTAATCCATCCTCCCTTTCTTCTTTTTATACCTCTGCTGTCTTTCAAATAGGTTTAAAACAGTGGCACGATTTGTAACGCCCTCAAAAGATAACAATTAAACCCATCAATATAGACATACATTGATATATATAAAAATTCCACATTCTTCTATCCATCAGAGTTTCATTACAAAAAGTATTACATGTTAACGACAAAAGCAAATGCCCTAGAGGCTTACAGCTTTTCAAGCTAACACTTGGTTACAACAAAAGAGTATTAACTCATTTACACATTAAGCCCTTGGCTTGAATATACATGTAATACATCAAAAGGGAAAAAGGCAACAAAAGTCTGCCCGCCTCTAGCCTCCCAAGCTACGTCCTTGGAGGTGGCATGCTACCTGTACCTGAAAATGATGTTCCCATATAGGGTGAGCCACAGCCCAGCAGAGATATACCATATTATGATGATTATAAAAATTATTATCACTAAAATTGATAATAAATCAAAACATGCATATGAACAGCATATAGAATTACATAAAAGTTTGCACCTAACATATCACAAAACAAAGTGAGTGAGGGAGTCCATGATGTGCATACTTAGTTACGATTTAGAAATCAGGAATACAACCTTTGACTTTTAACAACACAAAAGGAGTTTCTTTGATGCATAATAAATATGAAAGAGATTAGATGTACCATTCAGACACTGCCTAATAAATATGGCATGCAGCTTACAAGGTTGAACATACAGGGTATATTCAAGATAACCAACACATGCCGAGGGTACAAACCTTATGAACAAAAAATATGTTGTTATGAATAATTATAACTATAATAACAATATTCATAAATATATTATTATTCCAAGGTGTATTGATTCACAAACTAAAGCTCTGATACCACATGTAAGATTTAATAATACATGTAACCATAATAATAATGCGGAATTAAACTTTACAGGATCTTGAATTCAATACAACTCAAGAATAAAACGAACATACCTTTGTCAGCCATTGAATTAGAGAAGTTGAGAAAATACCCCTAATAGTTGAACCTTTAATTCTTGGCTCACCTTCTTCTCTCTGTCTCTCACTTTATTAGAATGACTATAAAACTTAGAGTGATGGAATAATACTCATGATATGAAAGGGGAGTCACCCATCCTTATATAGAGGAGAGAAGAGGGCCAAATAAACTATATCAGAAGAATTCCTAATCCATCAAGGTTTCCTTCTTATCTTAGAAGAGTGATTATATTAAAATTCTATTTACTGAACTTGATCTCAAATATTGGCTTTATCTATTTGTGGAGTCCAAATAAATTAAAACATGTAGAAAATATGTAGGCTATTGGGCCACACTAGAAAAATAAATCCAACAACTAATGGCAGTATGAAAACAATATTCACGTGTTTTGCAACTTCTGCCAAATTATGATTCACTTTTGATTTATGGAGAAGGTGAAAACATGAATGGATATTTCTTTATATTTATTGGGGAACAGATTCAATTAATCCCTCATATCTCTTCACAAATTACATGCTTTCCGTTAAAAAATCCATCTTGCTCAACTGCTTTTGGTGGTTGGAATCTGTTTGGGTTATCTAAGCAACTGTTTTGATATTTGTTCTGACCATCTCTTTGTTCTGTTCCCAGATTTGATGGCAACATAAAATCTGCTAGACGCATCACCATTCAATCATTCTGTGCTCCACAATGTGAATATTCCAATATGGTTAGTGGCAAAGAGATGGGAGATTCTATTTGGGGGATTTGGTGATAGCCCCCTCACTATCTAATTTGTCTTTCAAAAGAACAAGAATTATATAAGTACTTTCAAAACCCCCTGATATTTTAAAACTTGTTTCTTTTACTATATTACGCTCATATCTATCAGCTCTCCTATGAAGCCATCTTCACTATGTATTTCAGAGTAAAATTTTACTTTCATACAGAGTAAAATAAAATTTTACTCTGTATAAAAGTAAAATTTTATACTCTGAAACTAAAGTAAAATTTTACTAAAGTAAAATTTTATACTTTGAATAATAGTAAAATTTTACACTCTAAAACTAAAAGTAAAATTTTACACTCTGAAACTAAAAGTAAAATTTTACTCTGGTTCTGTCAAATGAAAAAAACAGAGCAATAGAACCAGAGTAAAATTTTACTCTGGTTCTATCAAATGAAATTAGATCATTCACAACCACTGTTCTTCTGTTTCTTCACAGTTACTTGCCTCTTTCGTATCACCTCTTTAGCTTCTCTGTTATCTATTACATATACACAATCCATATTGCTCACTCACGATACAAAAATTTATAAAAATCAAAAAAAATTTTACAACAAAAAGTTGAGAGAACATAGTAACAACTCATCAATAGATCAATTTAAGAACTTAACAACACTATCCAAATGAAAAATCTCTCCCTCACACACGCACACACACACACACACACACACACACACAAACGCACACATATATATATGAAAAATCTGAAGAACTGTGTTCAAATATGAAAATTTTGAACAGTCGCGCGATTCGTCTCTATACTCTTTCACAATTCGAATTTTTTATCGATGAGGCTATCATCAACGGCAAGAACATGAACTTCATGAGAATTGGAAGGCGATACATCGACGTCGTCGAAGCTTTCTCTGATCATCTCCGACGATCTCTTCCACTGCGAAACCTATGTGCCATTCAAAGAAAATTCTCTGCAACTGAGAGTGATTTAGGTATATTCACAGTTTTGGTTGAAATCACGAGAGCTTCGAACGAATCCAATTCAAACCCTAGGAATGGAAGAGAGAAGGAAAAAAGAGTGGAGAAGGTGAGGAAATTTAGTTGAGGGTATAATAGTCTAATAAAATATTTAAATAATAAATTTTGTCCTTTATGCAAAATTTTATAATTATGAGGGGGTTTAGAAAATATAATCTTTTTCTTAGTCCTTTTAACAATGAAAGAAAGGTAAAGGGGGTTTATAGCTAAATTTCCCTATAAAATAAATTTAAATTATAGATTGATTTTCTATGCAAAATTATAGATAAAAAAATCTAATGCTACTTAAAATAGATAGTAGGCCTTATAGGTAACGGGTTAAGTGTGCCTTTTGGTCAATATGTTGCAAAAGAAGAATGGATTGGGGGCCCACAAGATGAAAGCAAAAGGAAAGAGATTCTTTCCGTTCTACATACGTAATGAACAATTTTCATTAAAAATATAAATTTATAATTATTTTAAATTTTAAAAACTATTATACTTATGTAATACAATACCTGAACCGAGAGCACCCCTTGCTTCTTCTTAGGCACCAGCTTACCTTCAATGCTGTAATCAGGGTTGTAGAAATTGAGACCTTGAAGCTCTACATGGGCAAAAGCTTCAATGAAGTCCACTTCACGGTTGTTGCAGAGAAGCTGAGGTTTACCCACAGTGTTGTGCACAACCTCCCTAGCAAATGGATAGTAAGAAACTAAAGCTTGAGACATGGCCTTCTTCAAAACATCGATCATGGAGGCAAATGTGAACAACATTAAGCCCCCTTCTTTTCCAATGAGTCTTGTGGTGGTGGTGGTTGGATTCTTATAACAAAAGAACACAGTGACGTCGACAGGAGGCAAGAGCAAGTCATGGTTGGAAAGCAGTAGCAAATGCACACGCATCGGCAACGCTGCCGCCACCACTTTTGTCTTCCTCACCTCCACCACCACCAACTCTCCTTTCCCACTCATTTTTTGTTTATTTTAGAGAGAACTGAGTTGGGGATATGGGAGGTGACGACGGAAAATTTATAATGGAAAAATGCACCTGCACATAATACAGACATGGGTGGGCCTTCTCTAAGTTACGAGAAATTCTATGAAACGTACCCTGTGCAGTGGAAAAAGAAAAATGAGTGGGAGCTCTAATTAAAGTTATCACTAAAGATGTGACAGTGAGTCTCACCCACTGTCACAGTATGTGTTGTGTGTGTGTGTGTGTGTATGTTTTTTTTTTTCTTTTCGTTTTCCACCTCATTAGTGGTGGATTAGAACCACCAAATTATGTCTCTACGATGACCGGTGGAAAAATGCACCTACACATAATACAGACAGAGATGGGTGGGCTTTGTCTACGTTGCGAGAAATTCTATGATACGGGCCCTGTGCCTCAATTATCACGTGTTTTTTAATTTTTTTTATTTTATAATCAAGTATTTGGGTCAATACCCATTCGGAGTAACACATCTCGACTAATTTTTTTTTTTAATTTTATAATCGAGTATCTGTGCCAGCACCCATTCAGAGTGACGCATCTCAACTAATCTCGGCTTTTCTTTTTTTTTTTTAATTTTATAATCGAGTATCTGTGCCAGCACCCATTCAGAGTGACGCATCTCAACTAATCTCGGCTTTTCTTTTTTTTTTTTAATTTTATAATCGAGTATCTGTGCCAGCACCCATTCAGAGTGACGCATCTCAACTAATCTCGGCTTTTCTTTTTTTTTTTTAATTTTATAATCGAGTATCTGTGCCAGCACCCATTCAGAGTGACGCATCTCGACTAATCTCGGCTTTTTTTTTTTAATTTTATAATCGAGTATCTGGGCCAGCACCCATTCGGAGTGACGCATCTCGACTAATCTCGGAACTATGAGTCGATCGGCCAAGTAAAGACGCCATGGCCCGCCAGTAGCTAATTGGGGATAAGATTCGAACCAGGCAAAGATGCAGTAGTCCGTCAGTAGGGTCCAATTGTCTAGGCAAAGACGCAATGGCCCGCCAGTAGCCAATTGGAGATGAGATTCGAACCAGTTAAAGATGTAGTGGCCTTCTAGTAACTAGCTAGGGGTGGGATTCGAACTTGAAACCTAGAGAGGAGCATACTCCTATAGGTCTTTGGTCCCTTTCCCCTCAACCAATCGGGCTACCCTTGCGGGCAAGGTTCTGAAAAGCGGTTGCGGTCGCCATAACGGTAGCGGTGGCGCGGTTGCGGTTGCGGAGTATAAAGGCGGTAGCGTAACGGTTGCGGTAATCGGAACTGTGAATTTTTTTATTTTTCACACAATCTGAAAAAAACTTACCGATATACATATTTTTTTTCCATGATCATATTTATTGGGTTTAAAATAAATATTGATCAATTTTTGTAAATTTTTAAGTATGATATAATATATTTCATATTTTTAAATCACCATAAATTGAGTTTTTTACATCTAATTTTAATAATTAATGACTTTATATTATATAAAAAATCAATCACTAACTATTATATATAAGATAAATAATGACAAAAGTAAGAGAATAAATAAGAGCCTAAATATATATATATACATATTTTAACCAAGCCAAATAGAAAATGACCACACTTATTAATATTATTATTATTTTCAAACAATATATAGATAGACACACACAAACAAAATAGTTGAGTGATAGCAGCTAAATAGAATAGCGTAGGTATTATAGTTTCAACAAATCAATAACATATTCTTCATTTTCCCTCTTCTCTTGCTCCTCCATCTTCTCTATTTATCTTCCCTCTTCTCTCTATCCCTCGTCCCCCATTTTCAACTTTTTTTTGTGTGTTTTTTCGAAAGAAGCAGTTCAGAACCGTTACTTAACAGTGCGTAACAGACCGTTATGGCACCGTTACAACCGCTACGGCAGTCGCTACGGTCGACACATCTGTGAATCCCAATCACACTGCAAAAGCGGTCGTAACGGGTGGCGATAACCACCACAACCGTTACGTAACGACGTTACGTAACGGTTGTGGCCGCTTTTTAAAACCTTGCTTGCAGGTTACCTCAATTATCACGCTAGTAGTATTTGGTTAAGATTTATTGTGATTTTAGCTATAACTTTGTTGTAATTTTGTTATATAAATTGTAAAGTTAGTTATGACATTATGATATTGGTTATAATTTTAATTTAATTATGATTCAAAACATTTTAGTTATACCTTGTTGTATTTTGTTATGACTCAATTTTTTTAATTATAACTCTAAAAGGATTTAATTATGACTGAAAAATCTAGAAATCCCCTAAATGTTGATTTGTGATTATGTATCAATTTTAAGCAGCATATAACAATCCCAATCAAATAATCAAGACAAATTGACACAACGATTTTACGTGAAAAAACCACAATTGGACACCTCCAATTGTAATAAAAAAAACCACGGGCAATAGCCACAAAACAATCCACTAAGAAGATATAAAGGAATTACACAGTTATACTCTTAATTACCTAGCGAATCCACGCCCGAATTGAACCAACCTCTATGTGCATCTTCCAACCCCGTCTTCACCTCGGAATTGTCTTGACGATGAGCCACTTCGGAATCCACCAAAGCTTCAGGCTCGAATTCTTCAGAATCCACCGAAGAACAACTCTCTCTTTTGTGTAGAACAAACAAATAATCCTTTGATGTATACTCTTTAAACCATGAGTTGAATACTCAATCAAAACATCAAAGAAAACTAGCAAAATATCCCCAGATATAAACCCTAGAACCCAAGAAGAATATCTGGAGAAGTAATCCTAAATTCTGACAGAAACCCGTACTCATAGAAATCTGGAACTGTGAGGCTCGCTCGAGCGAAGACTCTCTCGCTCGAGGGAGGAACCAAAAACACGTGTTTTCCATAAGTAGCTACGCTCGAGCCACGAAACCTTCGCTCGAGCGTACATTCATCTCTTTCAGGTTTTTTGCCAGACGCAGCCTTCGCTCGAGTGAGCACTCCTTCACTCGAGCGAGCAATGGCGGACATACAACTTCGAATATAATTTTGCATTTTGCTTCGGGGGTGCTGCCCCTCGACCCCGCCATGGCGCTGCCCCAGATCCGCCAAGGGGCGCTGCCCCCTCGACCCCTGCGAGCTGACCGGGCAACTCGATCCCCGTCATAATTAGCGAAGTGGCAATCTTGAAAGTATTAACATCACAAATTTCTCTGCAAGGTACAATTCGGGTTGGATTCGCATCTAAACACTCATTGCCTCATTGAAATAAAAAGTGCGAAAATAAACACAACTTAAAGGAGTTTTGCCAAACGGGGTTGCCAAGAATAAAAATCTAAGAATCTCCCCCTTTGGCAATGCCGTGACAAAACACACCTAACAAATAAAATCCTAAACACCCCAACCCTCACAGCCAATAAAAATAAACTTTTTTCTCAAGGTCATGATCTGCAAAACAACTATTAGTCCCACAAGAGTATATGAAAAAGCAATAAACATGTGACACAATTATCTTGAAACATGAGATGGAAAACATGAATAGATGAAAACTAAGACTCATGAAAAACAACTCTCAAACAACAAAAGCAAGATCGTAAACCACACAAGCAATGATATGACAATGTAAATATGAACATGTAAGAAGGAAATAATAAGGAAGCAGTGCATAGTAACATGCAAAACAACTATAGCCAATCTCCCTTACCAAACAAATCAAAGCAAACTCTTGTAATGATAAACCAAACTCCCCTTCACTAAAAACAATGAACAAGAAGAAAAACAACAAAAGTAATATGGTGGAACAAGCAAGAAATCTCAGATTTGTACCTTAAAACACACAAGATTATCCAAGAAGCAAAATTACTAGTAAACACAATGTGCACAGTCTGTAGAAGATTTCTCATGAAAAAAAGTGATGCATTATGTGAAAAGCATAGATCCCATGATAAAAGTGTGTGTGTGACTCTTGGATTTCGACAAACATTAGATTCAATCCTAGTAGTGATCTGAAAGTTGGACCTCCAACAAGAGAATCTAAGCACAACAAAGGAAAGTCAAACCACTAGGAATCAAGGGGTATTTGGTGAGTAAAGGCGGAAGCTCCCCCTCAACCAATGAATCATTTATTTTTTCCTTTTTTTTTTTTTACATCTTTTGCTTTTCTTTCTTTTGCACATCCTTTTTTTTCTTTCTTTTGCATATTTTTTCTTTCTTTTGCACACTCATTGGCAGCTGACACGCTCAAGAGTATGGGAACCGACCCAGAGAAGTATGGGTGTAATAAGGATGGCCTGGTTGGTGACTCTGAGGTAGCCTTTTCCTCATGGCTGGACTACAAAGAATAGCGGGGCAAGCCGTGGAGATGCAAAAAGATGGAAGATGGTTAAGAGACTCAACATCACCTATGATATACTAGTATAAGTCAATTCCTCTAGAAATGCAAAAGATCAATGACAGAAGTCTATAGAGAAAAAATAATCACTAAGGCGGAAGACTCCAAAATTTGCTAATCCAAGAGTGTGTACAGAATGAGACATACTAATAAAAAAATACGCACTCTAAAATGAGTAATGACCACAGAAAGCACACATATATTAACATGTAATGGATATTCTCATCAATTCCAATATATACCAAGGACCACTCAAAAATTTCAAGCTTACAAAACCATACTAAGAAAATTTTTTGGGATTTTTTTTTTTTCAAAAATAAAGCAAGACAAAAAAATGAACAAGCACACATTTAATGAAAAAAAAAAACACACAGAAACCCAAAAACTAAAACGACAAAACACATTAACACAAGTCAAATTTTCTCACCCAAACTGCTTTAGTACGAACAAAGTTGTGAGCATTGCGGTTCTTGGGTGGTGTCTTGACGTTGTGGTTCCCTTTGCTTTCAATGAGAACCCGTCTCGACTTGGTTTCCAACTTCCTATATCTAGGTCAAGGTAAACACAATCTCTGTTCATGTTTGGTCTCAAGCAAATCGAAATAGCAAGGTTTATT